AAAAAGTTTGCTAGAACTAGAAGAAGAGAGAGAAGGTTTGTTTGTAATTGTCGTTTATAGGGAGTATCGAGCTGTCTCGAACCAGAAGAAGTAATTGAATTTGAAGGGAATTGGGGAGTTAGGGTCGGGTCCGGCGGGCCCCACAGTAACCAGGACAGCCGCGTACCCTGTCGGCTGACGTGGCGCTCAAGAAAGGCTTTTGAGTCATGTGATTGTGGGTCCCACCTTGTCCCCCTGTCCCTTGATAGCGACAACCTTTGACCTTTGGATCCAGATTTTCCCGTTTCCCCAAACTCTCCTTAACTAGTCTTCTCGCGATTATTTCACCTCCAACAAAAACAAGTGGCCCAGTGCTAAATGGACGTTTAGTCAAGGATTTAAATTATATGATTTGAATTATTTTTTATTTATATATATTTTTTATAAGAAAAAATACTGTAATGAACTATAAATCATAATTTGAATAAGAAACGAATTTTTTTATCAAATATCTTTTAAATATCACCTGTACTGAGCAATCATTAAAAAAGAAAAGAAAAGAAAATATTATCGGTCCCCATTACGGCGTCTAGGTTGAATTTTATTTATTTAATTTAGCATCGCTGGTAATTGTCTATATTTGTAATGTAATTGCCAAAGAAGAAGCCTGTTATTCTGTACTAATCTAAAAATTAGAAAACTTTAATGGTAGGAATGTTATCTTTTCTCATCAGCAGAAATTGTTGAGTTAGACGTTGGATTAGAATTTTTAAAGGTAGTATTTATAAATATCCATGTGATATGTAATTGTTCTTAATCATAGATTATAATATTAAAAAATTAATCTAACCGTTAAAATAATAATTTATGTAGTTAGATAAAAACATGAGGGTTGTTATCATATAAATTCCTTAAAAAACATATAAAATTTATCGCCAATTTTATGATTTAGGACTAAAAAGTTCAAAAGACAACTCAAGAGCTAATAGTACAAATCATCATAAAAATAAAAATAAAGAGAAAAGCACACCTTTTCCCTTTTTTTTTTTTCTTCATTAAACCTTAAAATCAACATAAGTTTAATTTAATGACACAAATATCTGAATATCGATATTAGCATGAAAATTGCAACTTTATGATAATCATCAAATCAATATATACAAAAAGAATAAAATTGACATTACAAGGTTAATTTAAGAATGTGGATAGAAACATAATATTACAAAAAAGTAAACAGTTATAATAATGGACTTAATAAAATAGATGGTGTATGTAATTTCTACCATATTTAAATTGTCATACTATAGTCAGGCAATTTTTTTAGTATATAAATGCATGGAATCATATTAATTGTCATTAGATGCATGAAATTATATTAATTAATCAAGGATTTAATAATATCTTTTTCTTTGAGGATAGTTCTTCTTTGATTATTTATAAAGAGAATTAAATTGTAGAGCATGAAGAAATTTCTTATTTATTGAATATCAATATACATTTTTAGATCACAAAAAAAAAACCCAATTTATAATGAAACTTGATTAAAAATATGATAGTTGCAATCTTTTTATTTTTTATCTTCTACTTATATCTGAATACATACACATAGGCTCCGTTCACTTCGTTGATTCGAGTTTAGAATTCGAGTTTTTCTACAGTAAAAAGCTTTCACAAACAATCACATCTAACTTTTTTACTACAGTAAAAAGCTCTCACATAAAATCACATCTCAACTCAAATTCTAAACTCGAATTAGCGAAGTGAACGGACATATTACTTTTGATAATACGAAATATTTTAATCATTAATGTCAAGGAAGTTTTTACAACACATGGAATAAGGTCTAGCAAAAATAGGAAGAGCTTTTTTCCTTTTTCTTTTGTGCATGCTAAAGTAGGAGAGGGATTAATGCAAATACAACATTGATTAATTCTCTTTCATCATTTATTTCCTAAACAATCAATTGATTAGACTAACTGTACCAAACAAAATTGTTTAGCTGTGGTCCCCTAATCCTTGTACGTTATAATGATAATGATCAAAATATTCTCCAAATAAACCACCCCGATTTTTCCTGTTAATTTCTCAATAACTTCTCTAAGAAGTTATGGTAGACATTATTCATTTTTTTCCAGATTTATATGGATAATGCAACTAAATTTTAAGCCTTAGCCGTTGGATGCTGTTAAAATTTTCAACTAAAAATTTGATAATTTTTTTTTTTCAACGGCTAATTCAATTTTTCGATTCAATTTTTCAATTCGAACACTTTTTGTGAGAGCTTGTTATTATAGCAGAAAAAATTAAATGTGATTTTTTATGAGAACTTTTTACTGTAACAAATTAAAATTAAAAACTCAAATTGAAGAACTAAAAATGATGCATAAAATTGTTTATTTTTGTAATCTAACGACTGAGACTAAAACGTTACACACATGTTCAATAAGATGTTTGGTAAAGGGATTCGTTCCTTGATTCGAATCATGATTCATGATTTGCTACAGTATTTTTTCTCATAAAAAATTTACATAAATAAAAAATAGTTCAAATCACATGATTTGAATCCTCCTAGTCTCCAAAACAGCTTTTTTTTTATTTACTTTTTTTATTCTTTTCTTTGGGGCCCACCACCCACTGTCAAATGCATCTCTTTAGGTCTCAACTTTCTAAAACAAGGTTTTGTGCTGTTTGTCTTCTAAATAGTGGACAGCACATAGATGAAAAGAAAAAGAAAAGAAAAGGAAAGAGAATGAGAGACGAGAGAGATTAGAATAATTAATGCTTTTGCTTCTAATTGACTCTACCTTTAGACTTTTTTAAAGTCTTAAATCAATATACTTTTATGATAAAAGCTTACCAAAAAGACAATCTGAAATTAAGACTACTGTATTCCTGACTTGATCTCTATCTAATGCCATTAATATCCAACTAAACTTTTTTTTTTAGTCTCTAATGCGTATATGTTTAGTTTTAGGTGGTAGAAGGTACTATACAATGCATGCTAATTGCCCTAGATCTGAATCTTTATCCATTTTACACAGACAGACAGACAGACAGACACATAAAAAGGAGCCCCCTTTCCCTTTGAATGGTTGCACTTTTCTTGTTGGAGAATATTTTAATTTTTTTAAAAAATTTAATTTTTTTTTTAATTTATTTACCATAGTAAAGATTAGAGGTTATTATCTTAAATCAAACTTTTCTTACCCAAAAGTCTATTTTTTCCATGAGTTCAATCAATCTGTAGGAGAACTTAGACACAGTAAGAAATAATGGAATTGACAGCTCAATTTCTTCTAAAAAATTCTGTCCCATACAGAAATGTAGGAGAAAAGTCTCTTTGATTATAAAACACAAAACTTTGAATGGAAAATTCATTTCCTTAATGAATCAAATTGTCCCGTCGATTCTGGTCGCAATGTACAACATATTTTCCTGTGTTGGATGATAATTCTAATAAAATTTGAAGTAATAAAATTTATTCTTTTGTTGCCGAGTCCTATTTGATAAAAGTAACTCAAATTTTAAACTTTCGAATTGATTTATCTGTTTTTCAATGCCTGATAAATTGCCGGTATGGTACGTTTAGGAAAAAAAAAAAAAAGGGGGAAGGCTGGTTGTAGAATAGTTTTTGGCTATTAATAAGAATGAATAACTGTAAAGGGTATACCACCATTATTCTATTTACTATTTACTTGCATGATTTTGCAGGGTACAAGAGTAGATCAATAATAGTGTATTATGCCAATAGTCACCCATTGATTTACCTGCATGGTGTGCAATTTAATAGCTCGGAAGAGTCCAAAGTTGTTCATTATATCATTAACCATCATACCACCAAGAACAAAAAGAGAGAAGAACCATCATTCTAGCGAAGAAAGCAAACAACTTTGCATCATTTCCAATCTCTCTTTTATATATCCCATTAAAACCACTAAAAATAAACAATATTCTTTGAAGGCCTCCTATATGTACACCACAAATTTCGCGGAATTTCAATTAAAATAATGTAGTTGTTTTCGAAACATACACAAGAACCATCAATCTCCAATTTTTAATGTCATCTTAAAAGCAAGATAATAATCTTTTACAAAATAAAAGAAAAGTAAACTGAAACAAAGATAATCTTTGTAATTTAGGTGATTACAAAGAACAAACCAACCCTTGTTTCTTGCTCCCATACACTTTAGCCTTTATTTTATGCTCGTATCTTCCATCCCCTTATCTCCTTTCTCCCATATATATGCAAAACATATTCTCCATCTAGAAGAACAATTTTGAATCACATCATAATCCTAGTAAATCAGAATAACATGTAGTTACAACCGTAATTTAGTGATAAATTCACGCTTAGTTTGATTTGGATGATGAATTTAAATCCCCCACTTTTAAATTAAAGACAAAATAACTCAACAAATTTAATGAAAATTGCTACCAACAGAAATTTTACAATAAAAGGACATTTTTTTTTCATTCTAAAAAACATATTCATAGGTTCAAATTACTATTTAAATTTTTTTGTTAGTATTTTATTTCATAAAATTTAAATTTTTGTCAACTTATAAACTAGACGGGCTCACAATCATTTAACAAGGTTCCTTTATGTGTCATGACGGTACCTCTCCTTAAAACGTTTATGATCGATCTATCAGTAAATTTTGTGTAATTTGTTTGTATGCGTTTTATAAACCAACGAAAACATTTTCTTTGAGGATTTAATGAAATGGATCATGTAAAAAAAAATACATTCTTTTTCCCTTTTTTTTTATTTGTCCATTTTCTAAGATTCATTGGGTGGTGGTGAGAGTGCTAGGCGCACTCCCAGACACAGAGGTCCCACAATCATCATCACTCCCTCCACCATCTCTCTCTCCCTCTCTCTCTCTGTCTTCCTTTTTTCCTCCCTTCTTCTTCCTCTGTCCAATAACCATAAACCACTATTTCTCTTTACACTCTTCTCCCAAACCTCCATAAACCTCCCCTCTCTCCCTTCTCTCCCAAAACCCAAAACCCACAAACAACAACAACAATCTCTCTCTCTCTCTCCTCTTCTCTTTCTCTCTCTAGAATGAAACCAACTCTGAAGGGTCTTCTGGGTTCGTCTTCTGGAAGCGGAAGCTCCTCCAACGAGTCTTCACCTGCGTCCAAGGTCGAGGAAGATTACGTTGTCAGCAAAAACATGTCGTCCGAAGCGACGTCGTACGGAGCCGAGGCAGAGCTCGAGCTGGGCCTGGGCCTCAGCCTCGGCGGGAGGACCGGTCCCGATGCGGCCAAGTCTAGAGTAACCACGTGCGGTCGCATCTTGACGGCCAAGGATTTCCCTTCTCGTGCCGTTTCCGGAACCAAAAGAGCCGCTGACTCTGTTTCCCAAGAGGGTGCTTCTTCTCCTCCTGTCAGGTGATTTCTTTTTTTTTTTTTTTTGCTTCTATTTTTTTAAGAAGTGTTATATATATATGTGTGTGTGTGTGTTGGTTTTGGTTCTGAATGATTTTGGTTTCTGAGAAAGGTTAGGAGAAGAAAGAATTTTAGTTCTTGAGTTTGTGCTGTTATGATTTGGAAGTTGGAAATGGAAACTCAGGATAGCAGGACAAAAAAGAAAAAAAAAGAAGAATATTTGTAAATGATATATGTATATAGATTTATACGTGTATAGATGTGTATGTATAATGTAATGTGCCAAATTATTTTTAGTTTTAAGAATAGTCTTAATTATATACAGGTGATATTTCGAAATAAATTATCTTCTTGTATTAGATTATGCACTTCTCCAAAAGTGAGTAATCTCTAATGTATAGAGATTATATGTTAGTGAGTAGTGACTATTTTTTTCACGGTTTATATAATCTATTTTCTGTACTGGTTTGGTTTCATCCCTAGATAGAAGATGGACCTTTATTGTCTTTTTCTTATTTGAATTCTCTTCCATCCTTAAAAAAAAAAAAAAAAAGAAGAATTTATCTCTTCAAGGATTTTATTTTTTTCTCATCCCTTTTCACCCTTTAGTTTTAAGAATTGTCTTATAGACAGGTGATATTTCACAATAAAATTATATTTCCTCACATTTGATTTTTCACTTTACTAAAAGTTAAAATTCAAATTTGCCGATTTTTATTGAAAAAGCAGTCAGGTTGTGGGATGGCCACCAATTAGAGCCTCAAGGATGTACAGCTTAGTTAACCAAGCAAAGACGCCAAGATCTGAAGAGGAAAAGGTGGTTGCAGGGGACAAGGAAAATTCCAAAGATTTTGCTCTGAATAAAAAAACCAACAATGGTGGTAACACAAATGTTGGTGTTAAGGAACTAGGGAACCTTGGATTTGTGAAAGTGAACATTGATGGAATAGCTATTGGGAGGAAAGTGGACTTGAATGCTCACACTTGCTATGAAACCTTAGCACAAACGCTCGAGGACATGTTCTTCCGGCCCGGCATGACTCTGAATTTGAATGGTTAGTTTAGTTAGTTATGTTTAAGATTAGTATTGGTTTATGTTGGTTTGTTTTGTTTGATTAATGTATCGATTTCGATTAGGGTACGATCCAAACGGGTTAACCGTGGAAGATTTTTATGTTATTGGTTTGGTTGTCTTTTGTGGTATTGAGTCACATTGTGCTTATTATCTATTTATGGTCAGGTGGAGAGAAGGAGCAAGTAACAAAACCTTCTAAGCTTTTGGATGGTTCCTCTGAGTTTGTTCTCACTTATGAAGACAAAGATGGTGATTGGATGCTTGTAGGAGATGTCCCTTGGGGGTATGCTACCACTCTTCATGTATTATTTTTCCACATAAGTCTATAATAGTAATAGTAAAGCACGTAGTTCCAATGAAGAACACCATTTCAATAGGTTTTCTCTCCTTGGGGCTTATGAGCTTTTTCAACCCAGTAGTAGATGTAACATTTAGTATTAATTGACGAGATAATTTTTTAAACAAGACTTACATGCCTTGTCAATTGGTATTAACATGTTAAGCTTAAAGTTTGAAGTCCTATCATTATTTTCCCAACCATGTGATAATCAATGATATCTTTATAATTAAAAATAACCGATGCCATCCATAGAAATCGTAAGTAGTAGAAAATGAAATTGCTTGACTTTATTTCTGTTCTTGTCATCATGATTATCGTGTTTGTTATGTGTTTTGTTATGTATTGCTTACAGAATTGTGAATTTCTTAATTGTGTTTTAGGATGTTCTTGAGCTCGGTGAAAAGGCTCCGAATCATGAGGACCTCTGAGGCTAATGGACTTGGTACGTTGGTTTGCAATCATTCTAGTTGATTCGAACATCAATAGTTCCGGTTGCTTGCCTTGGTTGAATTTTTCGCTTAGTCTGGTTAATCATTTTATTTGCAGCTCCAAGATGTCAAGAAAGGAATGACAGACAAAGAATCAAGCCTATATAGAATCCTTTTACCCCCCTTGATCTTTCCTTCTTTTTTGTAAGCCTGCTGAGATGAAGAAACCCACAGTTTGACAACAGAAGCAAAGTGGAGAAAGTTGATGAGACAAGAGTGTCTTTCTGAGATTTGTCTTCAACCAGTTTATGTTTGATTTTTTTTTTTCCTTTTCTTTTCAAATATATGTTTTTTTTTTTTTTTTTTTTTTTTTTTTTTTTTTAACCCCCCCGGTTTTTTTGTTTTTTTTTGAGCTAGGATTACTTTTTCACAAACTTCATATACAGTACTAGCAGAAAAGGCTTCATACTTGGCTAAATGCTGGTTTCCTATACTGTAAATATTGAAGTACTTTATATCTAGAGTGTTTAGATTGCTGAAATTTGGTGGACTCTGTTTTTCTTGGTCATAGAAGAAAAGCTCGTGTGGTTTTGATTTGTTAAAGCATAAAATTATTGTTGTCTCACCGCCTAATAGCTTAAGTTTTTAGGATGGATTAGTAAACTAACATGGTATCAGAGCGAGAGGTTTTGAGTTTAAATTCCCGTAATTGCATCTTTTATCCTCATTTAAATTGTTATAATGTATTGAGTCTTTAATATGTTTCAGACTTATTATCAAATGTTCATGTGTCGGGCTTTTCAATTAATTTACTCATACGATTGTTCATTATTCATTCAGTTCACATGTGAGGGGGAGTGAAAATATAAAATTATTGTTGGCTCATTTCCTAATGGAATAAACTTTTGAAATGAATTGATAAATTAACATGATTATTGTTAATCTATTTTGGTTTTATTGGTTGTGTTTTCTTAGCTCTTTCTGAAGTCTTGACTCTCAAATAAACTTGGTTAAACTCTCAAGAAACCTCATCACTTAATCCCCATGTAATAGGGTTGAGAAAAATTAGATTTTAATTAGATTATATCTAATGCATAGATAGAATTTTTCACCTATCTAGTCATAATTTAATCCGATATTTAAAATATGCAATACCGATAAGTATACTCATCTCCTTAAAATTGAAGTTTTTCATTTGTTAAAAGAAAAAGGTCTCTTAAAGCAAGCTCTTCATAACCGTTGACCAGCTCAATTTAGAATACAAGTATTTTTGTTCCTTTCTTAAACAAGAATTTTAGCAACTTCCACTTATCATTTCTTTGATCAAATTCTTGAATTATGTCCTAAAAGAGTTGTTATGATTGGTATCATATGCTCTAACATATTTTGTTTACAGTTGCATATGCTCAAATGAATTATTTAGGCATTTATACTAAACAATATGGGAGATTTCTATAGTAGGTCTTGAAACAATAAGTTACCTGTAGTTTTTAATTTGTAACCGTCAAATCTTGATTATAAATTATCTATTTTGTATGGTGTTTTAATTCGATATGATTTTAATTAGACGTAACACGGTTTAATACTATCAGGCAAGCATTGTACTAGAAACATCCTGGTTCCAAAATATATTCTATCCTGGCCTTTTAATTTCCGTGAGCAAAAAATGAAAATGGAGTTCTTAGTACTCTAATCAATGGATTTGCCGTTGACTTGAAACATTGCTGAGAAAAATTGGACAGACACGTCGGTTAATTAACTTTAAGCAATTATTACAATTTGGCCTAGTGATTTCTACCCAAGGGATAGTGATAATAGTCAATGACACATAATTATCTTCATAAGAGACAAATATCTTGAATGAATTTAAATTTTTATTTCTTATCTTAATTAATATATATTTTTAAATAAATAATTATATTAATCAAAAAATATTAATAAAAAATAAAAAATAAAAATTTAGACTCATATATAAATAAAGTTTCTTTTTAATTGACTGTAGATAACTGTGTTTTACAGTGGATCAAAGTTGTTATGGATGGTATATGGAAGTGTCTGTTTACCTTTTTTCTTGTGACGTGCTTTTTCTTACCGGTTCCCATTTCACATTTTAAGGCATCGTTTATTTCACCGATTTGAATTTTATTATAATAAAAAACTCTTAAAAATAATCACATTTAACTTTTTTATTACAGTAAAAAGATCTCACATAAATTCACATATTAATTTAAATTAAAAACTCGAATCAACAAACTAAACATTACCTAAAACGTTAAAAAAGATTCACTCAAATATGGCTTTTCTTCATGTGGGTTTTTTTGGTTGGACAAAAAATAAAAATAAGAAAATAAAAAACTACTGAAAGTTTTTAAAATTTTTCGTCATATCTATATAAAAACTGTTTATTATATATATATATATTTTTATTTAATATAATTTTAATTAAATTTAACAGTTAAAAGAGACATATTAGAAAAAATCCCTTCCATTCTTAATTCGGCTACTTCCGTAGAACCTTCCCATGATGTAACCTCAAGCAAGGTACTATCTTTTTATTCAAAAAAGGAAGGATTATTATTATTTTTTTTGTAATATTTTTTTTTAGAATTACATCCGGAATTTCACCTATTAAGTAAAAAAGTTAAAAACGACCACCGGATAAAAGTTAAAAAACAAAGGGATCGTTTGATTTACAGGTTTAAACTCATATTTTTTGTTATGTTACAACGTTTTCTTACACAAAAAACTTGAATTAAAAAATTTTCCATTAATGAGATCTGTCATAAACTTGAATTCTGAATTAAAATTATGGGTTTAAACCCATGAACCAAATAGGCAAATCGACTAGCTTCCAAAAAAATAAAATAGCGGTTCGGATTGAAAAAAATGCTTCAAACAGCCGCACCACCAAACCGCACTACTTTCATCCCTAGTTGACAGGAGGAATTGCAAGGTGAGTTCAAAATGCAGATTTTCAGCAGCTGACATCCAAAATTCAAGTTAGATTAAGATTGCATCAAAGATAGCTATTCTAAGTAGATGTTTCCATTTGACTTGCTTAACACATGGCCACTGAAACTTTTTCATAGTTGGTTGTGAAAGGCAGAATCAATAGAGAGATTTGATCTTGTCATATCATGCAAAAATAAATAAACTACTTGTGTGTTGTTTCTCATAGTTTGTTTTCTTTCTGAATGAAGCATGTGAAAGATGAATTGGAAAGAGCCAAAATTTATCGATTCATTCTATTACTGTATTTTCGGGCTATTTTTGCCATTAGCCTCTCAGCAGCGCAAGATACACGGGGCAGGCCTACCTCATGTCTTGTGTGATGCAGGGGCTCGCTATGCCCCAGAACACTGCTCAGTCATTATGGATATGATTGTCATCACTAATTGTCTGGAAAGGATCTCTATGCAAATAACTAGACGACACCAATAATCCTTTTGGCACCGCGATTATAGGAAAAATCCAAATCTGCGAGGTTAGGGTGGCAAGTTTGTCCGCAGTCGGTCTCTTTGCGAGGTTAGGGGAGAGAAGACGAAGCCAGGGTGGCTACTGAGATTGTAAAGGGAACCCATGTTTCCAACATCACATGGCAGTATTACAACATTGTTACACGTCAAAATGTAACATTTAGGGTCCGTTTAGTTCATGCGTTCAAACCACGGTACATGAATTTAACGTTTGAAATATAAATTTTTTATGAGAGGAAAACACTGTAACAGAATCAAGAACCATAATTTAAAACACGCGGAACCCTTAAAACAAACGCACTTTTAATGTGGTGTTGTTATGATCTTTTACTTTAATTACATAGTGGTTTTTAGCATTTTGGTTGACTTTTGATCCAATCACATTGAACCATGCACTATGTTGAGGCATTACATGGATCAGGAAGGAAAACAAAAGTAGGCTGGAATGGTGTATGATCTGTGTAATAAGTCTTTAGAGTGATAAAGAACTTGTTAGTGCAAAGGAAAGAAAAATTACATTAAGGATGGCTAACCATGGAGTGGGCGTATAGCCCACGGACTAGAAAGTAATACAATTTTAGGTCTCGTTCATTTTGCATATTTGAGTTTTTAATTCGAGTTGAGATGTGATTTTATGTGACAGCTTTTTACTGTAACAAAAAAGTTAGATGTGACTGTTTCTGAGAGTTTTTTACTGTAATAAAACTCGAATCGGTGAAATGAACGGAGCCTTAGTTAATCCATAGTATAAATGGAGAATATTTTACAATTACTTTTTTCCCCTGTAGAATATTGTTAGATGTTTCTGTGAACATGATAAAAATTGACAGCTAAATTTCACTCGTCAGCTTTAATCGACATTTTTCAGTTTCTTAATAGAATGCCATGATTTAAAGCCCTTACGATTATGTGAGAGAAAAAAAGTTGAAACCCAACCGCAAAGAGGTAAGATATACTTCACTAAGCCAAGGAAAAAAAAAAAAGAAGAAATACATAGAAAAGAAAAATAACAAACCCCGTTATAAGATAGAAAATTACAAGAACAACCATCCAATATAATAAATTCTTTCTAAGGAGGATTAACATATGGAAATAAGAACTAGTTTTTCGTGAAATCCTAGCCAAAAAACTAGTTCTTCATAATACACCTTTTAAGGACACACATATATAACTTATAACACCTTTTGTATCGATGGCAGCAAAAGAATCTAACTTACAATTGATAAGATATAGTTACCAAAGGAAGAAATAATTCCACAGATGAAGTTTCTGTAGAAAAACCACTTTCTGCCATTTCATTTGTAAACTTTACTAGTTTGGGTATCTCATCATAATTAAGGACGAATATTTAGTTCATCAAATTATAAATGAAATTGTCTAGAGGGTACATGCATGTTAGTGAACAGAGAAGTTACAACCAATATAGAATGAGAGAAGACTTGTAATAAGCCAAAAGCCTAAGGCTTAGTTTGGTATTGACTCTGGGAGAGGAAAATAATTAATTGCGATTGTCGATTTGCCAGTCTCCCATCTCCTCCTCCGACTACCCGTTCTCTACCTTATCAGATCAAGAGGTAAGCCTCTGTAAGTACTCGATATTTAGTGCAACTCTGGATTTGGTTCTGATTTTTTGTGGCTAGGGTTTTACAGATTATGGGTATTGAGTTATTTTTCGAGTTTTACTGCTAACGTTAGTCCGTAGGTAATTGTTTATGCATTTTGGCCTTTTACTGTATACTTTGGATGAAGATTATAAATTTTTTTGAGAAGTTTATTTGCTCAAAATTCAAGTTTGAGCAGTAGAAATAACATTATAAAATCCTTTCAATATGATTTCTCAACCCTTTATTAGCTTTTTTTGGGGATTGTATTTATCTTTGACAGGGCTAAAAATAATCTTATTTTGATGGTTTTATTTGTTGAAAATTGGAAGCGTATTAGAAGTGTTCTGTATTTATCGTGTACTTATAAATTTGTATGTCAGACTTTGAGCATTTTTATTGCTACTCACATGTCCTGAAGGTTTTACTATTCGATGTTATGTTGAATCTGCATAAGTCCTCGTTGCAGGCTCTTGTTGATGCTCCTGACACCGTGAGGTCTCAAATGAACTTCAAGAGACTTTCCCTCACTGACATTACGATTGACATCAAGAGGGTCCCTAAGAAAAAGGAACTTCTTGCGGCTATGGAAGCTGCCGGTATGTTCTTAAATTGAAAAGAAAAAGAGAGTTGTGAACTTGTGGTCTGTCACACACCTCTGTCTGGTGTTAATGTATGTGTTGGCAACTTGACAGATGTGAAGAAGAAGTGGGAGAACAGCTCTTGGGGAAGAAAATTGATTGTTCAGAAGAGAAGGGCATCACTCAACGACTTCGATAGGTTCAAGCTCATGTTGGCAAAGATCAAGGTTTGTATTGGTACCATTTGTAAGTTCTTTAATTGGTATTTTTTTTGTTCGAAAATGAGAACCATATATTATTAGAGCATTGCCCGGGGGGATCCATTGAGTAGGTTGCAATTAAGACTTGGATTATCAATACCAATGCGTTGAGATACTTCTGATTTGGTCGCTCTAACCGTTGGTCGTTCATGTCTTTATGTTTGCTTTACTTTATGTTTCTGTCCATTGATGGTTCAAATATTGTTCTCTTTGATAGAATGCAACTTGTCTTTCCTGTCAACTTTTAAAAATTTCATTTCTTTAGCCTTTTGCATGCCGTTTACCATGCTAACAAAAGGCCTTGTGTATTTGAAGAAAGTTGGACTTACTCGACAAGAGCTTGCAAAGCTGAAGAAACAGAGTGCCTAAGCAACATGTGATACTGAGTTTGCAATTTTGTGATGAATTTAGTTGTTCAGTCATTTGGATCTTTGTCCATCCGTTTTCAATCAATTTAGAGATATTCAGAGCAGTTTAAGTTTCTAATATTGTTGATAGATTGGAGACGGCTCTTTACTTATTTTGTCATTCAACTTCAGTTTCTATCCTTAATGTATAATTTTCTTTTCTGGATGTTTGTGTTACTTCTATTAGTGGTATGCCTATCACTAGAGCCTTTCATTGGAGCTTTCTTTTAAATCATTCCACTACATGTGCCTAAAATGTTGTAGCCTTGCTTTTGATCAAGAGATTAGGTTGCCCTCTAGTAACCATAATGATTGACTAAAGAGCCCTTTGCAAAGACGTTCATTCGACAATTCAAATTTCAACTCGTACTTGGGAAAATTACAACTCAAAACTTCTTATTATAATGTTTTCTTTCACATAAATTCATTTTTAACTTTTTTTTTTCACATAAATCCATTTTTAACTATAATTTTCAATTCGAATCCGCAAAACAAAAAGGTAGAATTTTTGATATTCTATTCAAATTTCATTTGCGAAGCAACTACATTAGGAAGCATGATAAGCGTGATCGACATTTTCAAAGGGTCGAGAATAATTCAGATGTTTTCGTTTATGAAGAGAATCAATCAGATGACAATGTAAAAAAAAAAACAATTATATATATTTAAGTTTCATACAAATGTCTATTTTTATCATTTTACATACCCATAACAATTCAGCCTCAAAATTTACTAAACGCTATTACACTAATTTTAAAACCATCACAGCTAGTGTAATTACATTTTACTAAATACCTAGCTGCTTCTTGTAACAATTGCTTCTCCTTTCAGCACAGTTAAAAACAATTTTTTTAAAATTCACAGCACTACTAAACTAAGCCTAAGTCTCTATTCTGAAACTGTAAAGAGTAGAAGCAAAAGAAAAAAAATAAATTCTTCCATGGACAGACATGTGGTATGATAAGTGTTTTCGACACTTTCGATTTACCTTATGGAAGGTTTTTTATTTTATTTTATTTTATTTTTGAGCCCACCTTATGGAAGATTTTGTGTCAACTGTCAATGCAGAAAAATCTAATTCGCGCTTACATACCAACTAACTTCTATAGTTGAAGCTTTCACCGAAAAAAAGAATAAAAGAAAAACACAGACAAGTACCTGAAAGCTACAAAGCAAAACATCTGCTGAAACAAAACAAAACTATTAACCACATTAAACCTTGTTTCAAGAAGTAGCCAGCCGGAGTATAAAATCATGAAAGATAAATATTCAAAGCTGTAGTTCTCTTTTCTGCAGCCATATCTTGAACAATAAAACATAACTAGTTTTTCATGTAATAACAAGTAAACCTTTCAAGGACACATAAACAGCTCATAAAACCTTTTGTATCAAGTAAAGAAACAATTCTACGTTTCAAAGCACCTGCAGAAAGACCCCTTTGCATAATTTAATTAGTAAACTGCCTAGAGGGTATCCATTTTCTTTCATTTCTTCCAACAAATTTGTCGCTACATCCAATTGGTCTCCGCTTAGAAATTCAATCAAGAAGATATGAGGCCTTATTCTCTGCGAGTATAAATTCTACCATCAACAAGTAACCAACCCTACAAAAGCTGAATGGGGACAAAAGCATTAGTAAACAGAGAAGGTCCATGAAATTGGGAATGAGAAGACTTATAAGCCAAAAGCCAACTCGCTTATCTCAAACAGGAGTAAAAGCAAAAGCATCCAACATGTTTTCCAAAAATAAAGAAAGAGATGTTTCTCTCATTTAAATTTTGGGAAGAAAAAAAAAAAATCCTTCTAACGAGAAACTCACAGATGAAAAACTCTTGGACAACCAAAAAAAAAAAAAAAAAACGCTGACAAATGAAGAATTTTTCTTCCGAACACTGTCCAAAAAACTGAATTTATTCCTTTTCTCTACACACAACTTGGTAGTGATGTCATAGGCAAAATAAACAATCATCTGAGGAAAGAAATTACAATAATTGCTACAAAATCATCTAGAAACAAAGTTGCAATTCCATCAACTGGAATCAAAGTCCTACATTTACTATTTGAAGATACCAGAATCAGACTTGCTAAAATTGGTACCTCTAAAACAACTAGCGTATTAAACCAATGTTCGAATATCTACCTCATAAAAAAATGAAAAAAAATAATAATAAACAAAAAATAAAAAATTGGAATTCTCAAATTGCCCACCCCCTTACACTAGTTTTACGTTCTTGAATGATTGAATGGTGAAATTTCTAACATCCATAAATCATTTCTTTAAGCAAAGGCAATGACAAAATTGAGCAGAATAAAAAAAAAAAAACAAAACTAATTTGTTTTTCAATGCGGATTCAAGGAGTTCTCTAATAGAACCAACACTTAGAGTTTGTAGCAGCTAACAACTAACAAGTCTTTCAGACAGCTTATCAAAAGGAGAAGTTTCAGAAAAATTGATTACATATAAATACTTGGTAGTTTCTGCCCCCAATCAACATCTTAATCGGAAATAAATCTTTTACAATCAATACAATATGAAATATCAACGGCACTAAAATTCAGAGCAAGTTCCGAGTTATAATAAATACGCTTACAAAGATTTTCTCCCTTGCTAAAACCCTTTTGACATGACTTGCACCTCACAAATCCTTTTGGAACATTGATCGCATAGAAGGATCTAATTTCCCACTGGAAATTAAATCAACAAATATATCTACAGTTGAAGCATCCATAGAGACATCCCGTTCCTCCATTTCATTGGCAAGTTGCACAACTCTTGATGGATCGTGATTAAGGACAGATCCTCGGATCATTAAATTATAAGTAGAACTGTTTGCAGGGCATCCATTTTCTTCCATTTGTTTGTGTAAGCTTGTGGCTTCATCCGTTAGGCCTCCACGAAGAAGTCCACTGATCATTATGCGATATGTTATGGAATTAGGTTGAAGGCCTTTGGATGGTAATTGGGAAAAGAGATCCTTTGCAGCGACCAAATTGCCAGCTTTACACAACCCTCCAATGAGGATATTGTAGATCACGATATTAATTGGTAACTTCTTCTCTTCCATATCTTGAAATAATGACACCGCGTCTTCATGTTGTCCATTGTTGCATAGACCATCAAGTAAAATACTATATGTTCGAATATTAGGAATCGGACCACAATCTTGCATCTTGCAAATTAGCTCCCAAGCAGCCTGGGTTTTCCCTACTTTACAGAAGCCGCCAATAAGAGAGTTGCAAGTTACAATGTTTGGAATAAGTCCCTTGGATGGCATTTCTTCAAATAGACTAAGGGCCTGGTCTATCCTCCTATTTTGGCAATAACCATTGATCAAAATGCTATAACCATGAAGATCATTTTCACAACCTTTGTCAAGCATCATATCAAATATTTTCCTTGCCTCATCCATTTCTCCTCGCAAGCAATAACCATCCATAAGTGAACTATAGGTTACCACATTAGGTTTGAAGCCTTTTTGTTCCATAATCACCATCACATGTTGTGCATCGGCAACCATCCCCTTTTTGCTTAGCATATCAACGAAGACACTGAAACTGTGTGCATTAGGGGTGATATTTCGACCTACCATCTCCTTAAATAACCTCAAAACCTCTTCTTGATGGCTTAACGTGCACGCACCATGAATCAACGTGTTATAAGTAACAACGTTTGGAGAGACACCTTTGTCAATCATTTTTGAGAAAAGATTCAAAGCATCATCAATTAGTTTGTGCTTGCAAAAGCCGTTGATAACTGTATTATAGGCAACTATGTCAGGCTTAAGGTTTTCTTCTTTTTCCATGTTCCTCAGCAACTGAACAGCTGCAGTAGTATTGCCTGATTTACAAAAAACATTTAGCAATGTGGTGTAAGTAATGACATCAGGCTTACAACCTCCACTAGTCATTTTGCGAAAGCATTCTTCCGCATCGTCAACCTTTCCTCGGAGCAAAAACCCTTTCATTAGAGAAGTCAGCGTCACAGCGTCTGGTTCATATCCAGATTTGATTAATTTCCCCAAAACAGATAAACTGAAGCCCATCTGATTTAGATGACAGAAGCAATTGATTACATTGTTGAGAGTATAAACATCAGCCATGATTCCTAGAAGAATCATTTCGTTGTATTTTGAAATAACAGCATAATAATGTTTCGTTTTGGCAATTTTCCCCAACAATTGATTGAAACGAACGACAGAAGGCAGAGGGCGCATTTGGAGCATTTCATCAAACAAATTCAAAGCATCTTTAAGAGTTGTTATTTCAGCGCTTCCTCCATGGCTTTTGTTGGTTGGAGACGGTTGAGAATGATTTTGAGAAAGAGTGGACGAAGGAGAAAACATACCTCCAATGCCGTTGCAAATACCACCATTTCTGTTGAAGAAAAAACGACCCGCTTTAGGAGCATTTCTCTGCAACTTAAGCATCTCTCCTCTTTTTGTGCCCTAAAATCTCAATATCAGAGCTCAATGGAATACGAAGAAGAATGGCAAAGTGGAAATTCTCTGTCCCTGGGTTTCTCTTAGATCCATATGAAAAATGGATTTTGTTTTAGACTTTAAACTTAGAGGTTGTTTTGGTTCGACGGATTTCAAAGTCATAATATGAATTCTATTATCAAACGTCCCCTAAAAGTTTTACTAATTGTAAATAGTTGCAATTTTTTTAATCCAATTTCCTCCTTTTTGAGTAGTCATTCCAGAGCTTAACAGTCAAGATTGTCCGTTATATTTACTATTTTTTTATTTTTTTATTTTTTTTTCCTTTTCATATCTAAACTAACGGACCAAACTTACCTAAGTAATGACATTGGATAAGAGAGCATCTTTTTTCTGCAGCATTGACGAACGAGCTCTACTATATGAAAAATACCACTCCCAAAATTTCCAATTAATTTCACATCTCAAAAAAACGGAAAGAATAAGTAAAAAGAAATTGTTTTAATTAATCTTAGTCTTAAGATTCTCAATTCTTATAAACTAAATTTTGCCTCTTGTTAGTATAAAATTTTGTATGATTTTTGTTCAAAAATAATAGCCACTTTCGTTCCTGAACCCTTTTTCTTGGTAGATTATTACTTCAACTTTGATTTATAGTAGTTTGGTTTTTTCTTTTAAGGTAAAATTTAATTCAATTAAAAAGTCTTACATACACTAATAATAATGTGGATAACTCCGTCGTACACAATACAAAACACTCGATAAAAACTAGCTCTATGAGTAAATTCTGATGAAGCACAAGGAAGATATGCAAAACGAGACCTAATATTAAAAAACTTCCTGGACGCGTTAATTTAAGTATGCATAAGGCTCTTTTTAAAACCACTACTATCAATGGAAGCTTTCGATCCATCGAGCCGACACCACCACCTCTCGTTCAGAACAAAACACCAAAAGAGAACAAACACCGTATGAGAAATGCGTCAAAGAACGCCTCCAAGCCGTCTAGATTTCATCTCCTAAACGAAAGTAAATTCGCTCTAACGAAGTCACCCCGCTAAACACAGTTACAACCATTGAAAAACGCACAACGATACGAGCCTCATAACTAAATTTTAGGACCAGAAGTCCAATGACACGCCCGAAACGGTCTCCGAATTCTGGCCAACTCACTCTTTTTTTCTCTCCTCCTCGTTTCTTTCCCTAATAGAGATTAGGGGGGTAGGTAAAGGTTACTTGTTGCGCTTTGAATTTTAGCAAATTAGGCAGCAGTAATAATAGCGGGTACAGCTTGCCTTAAAATAATAGACATTGAAAATGTGAATCATAGTTCATAGTTCGTTACAGTGTTATCTCTCATAAAAAAATACACGTAAATTGAAAATGGTTCTAACCACATGATTTTAATTCATGAACTAAACGTCTCCTTAATATACCCAACTTAAATATGTTTCCTAAAATATTATTTTAGAATATTCTCCTGCAATATACCCAACTTAAATACTTTTCCTAAAACTAGTTTAGGTACCTGCTATGCAAATATTGAGTTCTGAGTGAAATTTTTATAGCATATGATACGTACAACAATATGTAGATAAGGATATAGAATTTTGGATATTTATATAGTTGATATATCTGCTATGCATGCATTGAGTTGTAATTGAATTTCTTTTTAAAACGTGAATTATGAATAAATTATAAAAAAGGCTTAGTTTATGAATAGAAAGAATAAATATAAAAAAATATTAGTTAGATATTTAAAAAGAAGAAAGGGTTATTTGCACAAAAAGTTTCGGAAGATATACATTTCTTTTTTATTTGGACCCCCAACATTTGCTTTTAGAGGTCCAAGTTGTTAGTTTCTGAAACGATTTCGGATGCGGAAACTACTCGTATCTTGTATAATAAAAACTTTCATAAAATTTTTGAGATACTCTATAGATTATATTAATTAATGCACGAATAAATTAATCACATTAATTTATTTACCAAGAACGGGATTATGAATTATACATAGCAACCAATTAAGATGATAACTTGTAACAACTTGAAGAATTAAACAGGTTGTGATTGATTAATGTGCCTAGTATTAGTTTTTCTTAATTAATCATGTTATTAAAAAATTTTATGTATTCAATTTTGAAAATACATTTACTTTTACTTTTCCTCTAAACAACATTTACTGTATATTTTTAAAAATTTTCAATTCCCTTTTCTTTTTCTTCTTCATTTTTCATTTTTCTTTCTTTTCCTTTTCTCTCTCCTCATTTTCTTTTCTTTATATCCTTTTCTCTTCTTCTCTCTTCCCTGCCGCAGCTACTCTTTCTCCCCCTTCTCTTTCTTTCTTTTTCTCTTCCCTCTCTCTCCTCTGATCCTCCACTGTCGGTTTCCCCTCTCCCCTTTTCTCCCACCGCTGGCCACCTTTCCCTTTCCCTTTCCCTCTCTCGCCGGCCTCTTTCGCTCATTTTCCCTCTCTCTTTCCATCTCTTGGTTGCTCCTGCCGAAGCAGAAAGAACAAAAAAAAGAGAAAAGAGAGAGAACGGCCCCATCAACCAAATTGAGGTTAAACCCCTTGAAACCCATTATTTGATTTGAATTTTAAACTTGAGAAAGTTTGATTTTAGTTAGATTTGATAAATTTTAGTTAGGGTTTAGATTTGAATAAATTGTGGTTGAACTTAGATTAAATTTGAGGGTTTTCAGTTATTGAACTTATTGAAGTGTTTGGGAACTGGTTTTGATGATTTCTTGAGGATTTGTTTTCGAATTGAACTTAAATTGCAGGTTTGGTATTTTCCTCATTTTTGTCGGTATGCTGTCAAAATTTCTTTAAAAACTCGTTTTAAGCCGAAATTTAAAGAGGGAAAAACCAAACTATTGAATTGAATCTCAATTTTAAAGAACTCCAAATTGAATTGTGAAGTTATTTGTTAAACTTGAATTGAGTCAAGGCACACTAATAGGAAGCACCTAGACATGATTGAGCTTGATTCGTTTTAGGAATGAGAATTATATCCTAAAATATTACTTTTGTGATAAAGCTAGTGGAGAAGATTGAATATTAAAGTTTTAAGGAAAGCAGATGCTAGGGTGATGAGAAATTAGCCATAGGTTTGATATCCAAGAGGTAGGATATTCTTGTCCATATTCTTGTTAGCTTGTTTTAAAGTGTTTTGACCTATGTAAATATTTTTAAAGATAAGACATGTTTGATAAAGAAAGATATTTTAAGACAGTAACTTGATTATTGCTATTGATCTTATAATGAACCGATTTAAAGTTTTAATGAATATTTTCTTAAGATATGATATCTTACGAACTAGTAAGCCCACTGATGGCCTAGACATGATATAGAGATCGTATCCTTATCTTGGAAACTTGTAAGCCCACTGATGGCCTAGACAGGATGTGGAGATCGTATCCTTGGGGACGGAACTCAAAATCCGGACATGCCACTTAGGTGGTGTTTGGCCTTGCATTGGTTGTAAGTAATTTAATTACTTAAATTACTTGCTAGTTGCCTTTAATATGGAATTTAAGTTTATTTACCTTTCAGTTAAAAAGGTGTTTGGTTCCCACTAATTCGTTCGGGCCTGTACTTTCATTTATTTATCAGTTTTAAAAAATTATATCATACTGGGCCTTTCGCTCACTTTTCCTCTATTTTTAATGTTTTAAACCCCCCTCTAGAGTTAGCGGTTTAGATTTAGGTTTACAGCATGGCAAGTGGATGCCAATGGGAAAATGTCCTCCTGAGTAGGGGAAGTGGCCTATTTATGGGCCTTTCGTTGCAGGTGAGCCCAATGCAATGGTGCTGCAAAGTTTTGGAGTAGGTGCAGAAGGCCCATGGTCTTGATAAGAATTATTCACCTAATCCCTGTTATCATTATCTTATTATTTTTATATATCTATTCATTTCATTTCATTTCTTTTCTTTTCTTCTCTTCTCTTCTCTTCTCTGCCTTGATGGGTGCCCTCTGGCGACACGCGGCGAGAAGAGGAGGGTGCTGGAATTCTGCCGCCGACAAGATGCCACGTGGCGCATCCAAACTGGCATGGAGCGGCTGATTACAGGGTCCAAATTTCGCTCTAAATTTTAAATCCTACTAAGATAAAAATAAAAATAAAAATAAAATATAATGAAATAAAATATAATGAAATAAAATAAAAGCACACAAAATTAAAGAAAATTCAAATAAAACTAAAATAAAACAAAATAAATTAAAACTAACAAAAAAACACATAAAAATAAATTAAAATCTCAAGAACTAAACTGATTTTTATACAACATTAAAAGTAAAATAATTCTATTATATAGAGTTATCACACCCGAGAATGTCGTTTGTTGAGAATCTATGATTGATCTTAGGGTGGTACTTGTCTTTTGTTTTGTACTAATTGGATTTGTGTTGCTTACACTTTTCTGCAGCAGAGTTTTGGCCCCTCGTTTGCTAATAGTGCAAGCTAATAACTTGTAACGAAACAAGAGAAGTAGTACCATGTGAAAAATGTTAAATGTCCTGTGTGTTGGCAACGATACTGAGATCGACTTTTTAGTGTAAATATCACCGGATCTCTCTTCTCTGAGAGAGAGAAACTTGAGATGTAAAATTTTTTAGTAATGATGCAAATTTTATTTTAGGAGTTTTTTTTTGGTAGGATTGGAAAAAAATGAATTATTAAGGCCCCGTTCACTTTGCCGATTCGAGTTTAGAAATCGAGTTTTGCTACATTAAAAAGCTCTCAGAAACAGTCACATCTAACTTTTTTGCTACAGTAAAAAGCTCTCACATAACATCACATCTTAACTCGAATTAAAAACTCGAATCAGCGAACTAAACGAACCCTAAGTGCTTTATTTTTCAACAGTCAAATTTTATCAAAAACTGTTTATTTTACATACTTTTTCAATCTGATGTAATTATAATCAGATTTAATATTTAAAAATTGACCCTACCGGTAGG